ATATATCCAGAAAGTCTGGAATATTCAGGTGGAAGTTCCACCCCAAGGCCCTTCCCCTGGGAGTTGCTTCAGTAAAGACTCCACCTCTGAGAAAGCCCACCAACTCATCCCCAGATATGCTCTAGACTACTCCCACAGGGTATTTAAACTGCCCCTCAGAGGACAAACATATGGTTTTCCGTCTTTCTTTCCCACCTCCTCTATGGGAGGGGGTGCTGTTGTAATCTGCTGACCTGGTCTGTCACCTAGGTACCCTGTCCCTTTAAGAGACAAGCTCCATCCACTCCCAACCTCCCCCCTTCTGCAAAGTCAAGTGGAATTCCAGCCTAGTCTCCAGCCTGCTGCCTGTCTTTCTGTCCCTCTTCTGAAGAATTAACTACTGCCCCCCCATCTGCCTTTCTTCTGGAGAGGCAGCTTCTGCCTCTCTCTCTTCCCTCCCCTTCCTCCCTCCCCCCTTCTTTTCTTCCTCCATAACCCACTAAATAAACTCTATACACCAGCTCTCTCTGCATGTGTATCTATCTGTCTGTCTCCTGCATGGGGGACCCACCAAGGCCTCAGGTCACCTGCCATTCTCCCTTCATGAGACCAGTCTCAGGTCACCACCTGCCTTTATAAATGATAACATGGCTGGAAAAAGCCATCTGGGAGCATTTGTATCCATTAAACCTGGGCTTTTTCTAATTTGATTTTATTTGATCTGATTTGGATTATTGCATCAGCTGAGAGGCTTATTAAGGTGCAGAAACTTTTCACCATCTATCTATTAAGCATACTTGTTTTAGTTACTTGCTTTAGGCTTAACTTTGAAAACACATTAGTTTGTATGTTTTAATTATCTTTAACAGTTGATAAATTGGGAACATATAAGAATAAAATTTTATAGCTTTATCGCTGTTAAGTTTAAGCCTTTGAATTTCAGTTGAAGATTTTATTGAAATTACTTTTAGCATCAAAATAAAGTTTTAAACTATAAATATATAAACTGGGAACTTTACTTTCCCCGGATTCTTTCATAATGCACCATTATAGAATATAACAGGTTTTTTTTGTATGATTAAGTTTATCCTAATAATAGCTTGGTAAAGTGAGCAAAAAGAAAGGCGCTTGACAAATATTACTGTGAACCTGAGGAGACCTTAGGAATTTATAAACTTTATCAAATATACCTTATTTATCAAACATGTGTTGTTACTTATCTAAATTTATGGATGTCTGGTATTTAATAGTTAGCAAAGACATAAGTCATTAGGTATAAATCTGTAAGTCAACTTTTGTTAATCTGAATAGTTATTTATAACTTTGAAAATTTATCATCATACAAAAATCCATAATAATCCAAAATATTTTGGAGAACCATTGTTCCTTAGTCTAAAAAGAGATACGATGATAAGAAGAGGGCTCAGTAGGACTAAGAAGTTTTATAGGAGCTGTCTTAGTTGGTTTATACCGTCTGGTCATCTTGAGATGGTGGTGAAGTCACTTTACATGTATCTTTTAATCTTAGTAAAGATGGATGTGGTTATTATTTATAATATCTATATTTTAGTCCTACTTTAAAACAAGAATTGAATCTAAGTCACATATACAAAATATTCTAAACAAGAGTTGAATCACATATTTAGTATGATGTAGCAAATCAAGATTACTCATGTATAAATTATTTTAATTATAAGGCTTTTTTTGTAAATTTAAAGCTAAATTTTGTTACAGATTTTATAGATTCTTTTTAACACAATGAACTTGCAAATTTTGAGACAGAGTCTATCGAATAGTCTTAGGAACATTTTTTGAGAGCAGAGTGCAGAGAAATTGTAGAGATAAAAGATTTTGAAGAGTGGGGAAGGGAGAAAGTATAGCATATAGCAAGTTTAGATAGAGATATGGTGATCTTTTGTTTGTTCAGTGGCAGAAGCTGTTACCATATGAGAGAATTTGAAAATAGAACATTCCAATCTTTGGCCATTGATCTATAATGAGACCAAGCTGTGTGTAGTCCAAAGAAGAGAGAGAAAGGGTTGGAAGATGGAGCACCACTGGAGGGAATTTATAAGGTCTGAGAGGGAGCTGAGAAAGAGTGCAGAGTGGCCCATATTGGCTCAGGCATAGAGACACTGTGAGAGGAGCTCCACCCAAGGGAGGAGAGATTTAAGAGGACTTCAGGAAGAGACAGCAGGCAAGCTCCTTCTGGGTAAGGAGACTTTAGGAGAGAGATGAGAGCAGAAGCCACAGGACTGCACTTCCCTAGGGGAGGCAAGAGAAAGCTAGCTGAGCTGAGGTGGATAAAGCGTTGTGACAAGAAACTTCCTTCCAGTCATCCCCAAGCGGGATGGGAAACTGTCAGAGAGAAACATGTTCCAAATCTCAGAGGAGAAGAGTCCCTTTCCATGTGACCACGGCCCAAGTAGGATGAGAAGAGCTTCCTGGAAGAGTGGTGTGGCTTTTGTTGTAATAGTAGACAAAACAGGCAGCTAGGTGACACTTATTCAGTAGAGATCAGACAGCACGGGAAAATGGAAGATGGTAAGGGTCTTGAGTAGAGATACTCAGACAGGTGTAGCATGCCAGGGATTTGAGACAAGAACCAGGCACTAGGAGGCAGGGAGACACTTAATGACATGGACAAGAAGAGGAATGGTTAGAGCACTTGATGGGAAGAAGCAGCTGAAGAGGCATACTCTAGAATTTGGGGTCAAATTTGATGATGGCAGTAACCAGCAGAAACAAATGATCAATACACACCTTTGGAGAGTCAGATCAGCATTTTGGTTTGGAGAGACCAAGATCCTTGGAAGGGAACCCATATATGCTAATACTGGGCTTCAGTACCAGATGAATGGGAAAAAAAGAAAGAAGGAAGGACATGACTGTTCCTAGGTATGATGGAAGAGAAGGTTTATTGTAGATAAAAGGAAGATCATAGTCAATGGCAGAGACATGTGGAGAGTCCAGAGTGAACATGACTCTGAGCGGGGCCATCTGAAGAAAGGGAAGAGAGGGGAAGCATGTGCAGCAGCTAAGAGAGCAAAAAGTAAAAGGATGGGCATAGCCAAATGGTTTAATTATATAGAGACTAGAGAATGGAGAAAGGAAGCCTAGCCCTAGGCTGGAGAGTTGAGGGTAGATGGTGGGGTATGCCAACCAGACCTGTAAAAGGTAAGGACTAAGGAATGCTGGGAGAGGCTGGTGGCCAGATCCACTTTGGATTTGATATATTAAATAGGCACCTCAGCCATTTGTCCTGGGCTTGAGACCTAATACTTTACTCCCAAATTACCGTCAGCACTGTAGTTGTCATAGAGTGTATTTGTATTCCACATGAACCTCAAATGCTATGTGCCTGATGTGTCATTAAGTTTCAAGCAGTGGAGCAATTTACACTGGAGCCTAGATGTACTGTTGACAATTTTCTTGCTCTCAACCATATTTAATATGACATTTTTTATGTATTACATGGTGAGTTGAGAACTCAAAGATGGTATATGTTGCCTCCTACAGTTTTACTAATTCTACCAATAATTTTATCTGCTTCTTCATGGTATACCAGATTAATGGTTATTACCCATTTAAGAACTGACATATTGAATTCCAGAAAACTGGATTCCCAGAAAATATCAACAGTTGATCAGACCCTTTGGTTAAGCATATTATCTTGACCAGTCATTAAAAATGCTTGCTATTTTCTGCTCACCAGGATAATTTAGCATGTTATAAAATGCAATAAGCAAGCATTATTTATGAGTACAATAAACACTAAGTCACTTCTTATGAATGTTTCAGCAGAAAGGAGAGATATAAAGGTTTAGCATAAGAAACCAATAGGTGAATATAAACTGTTTCCGATTTTCTTTGAAGATAGAAATGAAGGAAAGAGAAAGAGGCATCTACTCATATGATTCTATACTAAGTTTTAAAAGCTGTATTCATTTTAATGAAGACACATCATATAGAACTGAAACTGAAATTAATCACATATACTTGGTTAAGTTTAAAGTATTCTAGTCATTCCTCAAACATATATATATATATATACCTTTTGTCCGGGCCAGATAAAATTCAATGCAATTCTGGAAGAAAGTACCAGTTTGTTTTGTTTTGGTTTTTTGGTTTTTCTTTTTTTTTTCTTTTTTCTTTTTCTTTTTTGGTTTTCCGAGACAGGGTTTCTCTGTGGCTTTGGAGCCTGTTCTACAACTAGCTCTTGTAGACCAGGCTGGTCTCGAACTCACAGAGATCCGCCTGCCTCTGCCTCCCGAGTGCTGGGATTAAAGGTGTGCACCGCCATTGCCCGGCTGAAAGTACCAGTTTGGAATGGTTGCAATATTTGATGATAGGGTTAACCACTACAATCCCTTTCATCCTTTTTAGTGCACTGATTTAACTAGAAGCAAAAAGAAACAGATTAATCATGATTTTAGTGACTCCCAGTTGATAATAGACATCAGTTCATGTAGTGAGAACCAAGATAGATCTTCGTTTCATTGCTGAATATGTCTTTTCTCAGAGTTCTGAATGTAGGGTTCTGTATGTTTCATAGAATAACTTTCCCTTGATGCACAAAGTCCCCGTGGGAAGACTTGACCTCCTAGTCTATGTCCTATATCTCCCTTTGCCCTTTAGCTGGAGGGTTGCTATTATTCTGGTATTCTGGTGATTTCTACTGTCTCCTCATCATTCACCATAGTCCTTGATGGCCTGGGGTGGGAGGAACCAGAGATGAATCTATAATGTTTCAGTGGATCCATCTTCAATGACAGAGGCATACTCCTTTCCAACTTTCTTCAGGAGAAATAAAAAAGGAGAGGTTAATGTATCAACTTGCTTATTTCCTTCTGCAATAAAACTAGTCAAGTTAGAATTTTGTGAGTATGAGTCTATTGCTGTACATCATACACAGAATATGAAAAAAACATTTAAGGGTTAATGAGTTGACTGTAACAGATGAGTAAAATAAGCCAGTTCCATCTGTTGAGCTGAAGAAAATAAGTACTAATAGTGTGATGAATGTTTTGACAATGAAACCCTCTGATACCACTAGATGAGCCAACAATAAATTATCTATGTAATGGGAGAAGGTTGGACAATTTTTGTAATCACAAATTCTGTTTGTTTGACTAAATTCCATAGCTTTCCAGCTGGATAATGATTTCCTATACTTCCATAGTAATCTGCAAATGAAATTTGAAAATCCATAGAATTTTGTAACAATCTTAAAATCTGATTGCTATTTAAAGGTAGTATAATACAGCAAAGTATCAAAGTCATATAATTGTTAATATTGGGTCCTCCCTTGGCTACTAACTGAGCAAGAAGATTAAGGTAAGGGTAGTATTTTATGGCTGCTTTGGTGTAAATATACCCATTCCAAAGGTTTATCCTCTTGTGCTGTAATACCTGCAGGAGACAATTTAGTGGGGGAAAATAAGTAAGTTCAGAGGAAGTCAAGGATCCACATACTACACAAATGCTTCTTTTAGTCTGGAATCATGTCCCTAATTTGTGGTGTTGATGGAGGAGGGTCATTTTTCTATTTGATGCTTTCATTGGTTACTTAATAAAGAAACTGCTTGGCCTTTGATAGGACAGAAAATTAGGTAGATGGAGTAAACAGAACAGAATGCTTGGAGAAAGAAGCAGATTCAGTCAGTCGCCATGATTCTCCCACTCCAGACAGACGCAGGTTAAGATCTTTTCCGGTAAGCCAGCTCGAGGTGCTACACAGAATGTTAGAAATGGGTTAGATCAATATGTAAGAGCTAGCCAATAAGAGGTTAAAACTAGTGGGCCAAGCAGTGTTTAAAAGAATACAGTTTCCATGTAATTATTTCAGGTAAAGCTAGCCGGGTGGCAGGAAGCAGAGCTCCTTACTACATGGTGTCACTTGTTTACCACTCTAACTGGAGGCACAACCTGGGAGAATGGATCAAAGCAGCCAGGTAAAATAAAAGCATATGCAATAGACAGCTTAACCCACAGTGTCAGGCAATTTGTACTCTGAGGGCTAAGAAGAATCAATCACATGAGCAAGGTGTTCAATTGCAAGGAAATGTGGCAAAAAACCTGTTTTTCTGTAGAATAACAACAGCTGAGGTACACTCACTTCTATCTACCACGCCTGGGAGGAGCAGGATAGCACATTCCAAGAACAAGTCTGTGTTTTGAAAAAAAAAAAAAAACTTAGGTCATAAGACTCTTGTCTTTTTACTTTTTGGAGTTTTCTCACACACACTAGGATTCTAATAGGACTCCATTCTTGAAGTGTGTTCCAATAGTTGTCTAGTCTTAGTACCAATAAAATCTCCTTTACTGGGAGATCCATGAGGATTTGTAAGTTTTATGTTTAAAAATTTTACTACCCCATTAGGTGACTATTTTAAATATCTTCTCCCACACCTATTAGTAATAGTGAAAAGGAACTATTTTGAAATTATAACAGTTTTTTGTTTCCTAAAAAGTGATACTTAACAGAATTCTTCAATTTCAGCTCCCTTTTACAACAAAATTATGAATTCAGAGATATAGTAACAATATTTTAAAAATGAACAGAAATTATGGAGCCAGTGAATAAAATGACTGAACTGAAAGCATTAATTCAATGAGAAAGAATAATGAACTAACAAACAAACAAACAAAAAAACTAAATCCTTTTAAAGTATTCAATACGGTGAATAAAAGTAAAACAAAAGAAAATAGAAGTGGAAAGTTTCCTGGATTTACTGGAAAACTTCATGTAAAACAATGTATGTGTTTCTACAACACAACTTCTTTACCTAAGATTCAGTGAATATCACAGAAGAGGAGGTGGAGCAGGATGTATGCAGAGAGTGTGTGTTTTATATGAGAAATAAATTTTATTCATGAAATTCCAACAGCATGGCTGCCGGATCAAGACCCGAGTTGGCATATTGTAGTGGTTTGAATGATAGTGACTCCCTCACTTTTATATATTTGAATACTTGCCCCATTGCAAAACTTGTTTGGAGGAGGAGATTTTAGGAGAGTTTTATATTGACTTTGTTATGTGGTTATTAATAATCACTCTTTATACAGTTTTATAATGAAAAACAGCAAGTAGGGTAAAAAGAACTGCAAAACATAGTTTTCAAAGAAAAAAGAACACCAAGAAACTTAATGTTGGAAACAATACTTGTGTTGAAAGAGATAGGCCTAACTAGAAATGAAATAAAAAAAATGGGTACCCTCAGGCAAGATCCCTGCCCAGCTAAGCTTCCAATTTATTTATTTATTTATTTTTTAAAAGGCCCAGGAAATTTTATACTCCTAAAACATCAACAAAGCTCCTACAAATGTGATTCAAGGGTGTCACTGTTTACTCCACATTGGTAGTCAAACAAGGCAGTGACATCCACATGGTTATCACTTTAGAGCTATAAAGGATGTGTTAGTAAAGGCATTGTGGAAATTTCTTCCATAGTTAAGGAGGGTCTCTGAGACCAGGCATGTGTTGGGTGAGTCCCTGAATGGAATCCCTGAGAGGCTATTGTATGCACTTGTGAAAGTGAAGCCTGGATTGCACTGGAGACCCTGTGATTTCAGAGGCAACAGAGCTGTGGGATATCTGCTATGGAGATCTGTATACAGGGAGTCGAACTGTGTCAAGAGAGACAGTGTGCTGCTCTTTAAACCCTTTGACATCAGATGTGAAGTTACAGGGTTTGAAGATTGTTCTGTTGGTTGATGTCTTTTTTTTTTTGGTGCAGTATTTCCTCACTGTGCCTCAATTCCTCCATGTTGAAATGGATATATATATATATATATATATATATATATATATATATATAGCCATTGTACGTCAGAAGCATATAATTTGCTTTCTCATTTTGCAAAAAGTTGGACTTAAGAGTTGTATTGAATCTCAAAGAGCTTATGGACTTTAAACTGTGTTGAGACTGTGAAAGACTATGGGGACCATTGAAGTTGGATTAAATGCATTTTGATGTTATGATATTCATGGATGCCAGGGAATTGAATGTGGTGATTTGAGTAGAAATGGACTCCATAAGCTTATATGCTTGAATATTTAGTCCCCAGTTGGTAGGATTGAAAGCTTTAGAAGAAACTGTGGTCTTGTTGGAGGAGGTGTGTTAGTGAGAGCAGATTTTGAGATTTCTAAAGACCAAATGTTCTTCACCTTGTGATTGTGGACTAAGTTGTTCCTTTGCTCTACCATCATGGACTCTAACATTCTGAAACCACAAGTCAAATTCTAAGCCTCCTTTAAAAAGTTGATTTGACCATGGAATTTTATCACAGTAACAGAAAAGTGATCAGCACATATGCTAAGAAAGATGAGAAAAATCTCACAAGGCCACACCCTAGACCAATGGTTCTCAACATTTCTAATGCCGTGACTCAAACAGTTTCTCATGTTGTGGTGACCCCAACCAAAATATTATCTTGTTGTTACTTCTTAGCTGTAATTTTACTACTGCTATAAATCATCATATAAATATCTTAATACAGGACATCTGATATGCAATCTCCAAAGGTGTCACACCCACAGATTAAGAACCACTGCCAGAGATGAAGAGCTATAGTCAAGGAATCACAGCAAGAGAGGGAGAATTAGTCTTCCTTTGGGATGAGCCCATAATAGCAAGTGGTCAGCCCTAAAACCATAAACATATGAGAAAAAAGAATAAAGGACATTGTATATATTCATCCATGTATATCTACAGATATTACATATATCTAAGAATAATTAAAGGGTAAGGGGTAATGAATTTGAGAGGGAGTTAGAAGCAAATGTGTAACTAGAGGTTATTCTATCCTGCCCCATACTGAAGTCTCCTTTAAATAATCACTCAGAAGTTTAATATTAGTTATAAATGTTTTACTGATAACTCAGACTTATCACTAACCAGCTCTTACATTTAAACAAACCCATTTTTATCAATCTACATTTTGCCATGTGGCTTTGTGGCTTTACCTGTTCCCTAGTATATCTTGTTTCCCAGACAGCTGGCTTGCATCTCTCACGATTCCACCTGTCTCTCTCCCTGTATCTCTGTTTAGCTTTCCTGCCCAGCCTTATTATGCTGGGCTATAGGCCAAATCAGCTTTCATTTTCAACCAATGAGAGCAACACATATTCACAGCACACAGTAGGATTACCCCATAGCACAAATAGGAGGAGTTGGGAAAAGGAAAGGGAAGGGGGAAATCATGCAAATGCAATACTCATATACAAAATTCTCAAGTAAAACCAATTCACAAAAACCAACAAATGAACTAACTAAACAATTATAAAAGAAGATCATGAAGTTGGCAGGGTTATGTGATGCAGAGTACTAGTGGGAGTTGGATGTGGGGAGTGAGGCTTGTATATGGTCTGGATACTTTGCATACATGTATGAATTTTTTCTTTTTTTATGTTTTTTTGAAACATGGTTTTGAAATGCCAGCTTTCTGAGCCATGCTGCTAGAGTGAACTCTGATGAGGTCTGGCGATCAAGCATTTAAATGGGTTTTGTGAGCAGAGTGCTACAGCTACTTAATGGCTCGACATAGACCTACTGAATACTTGCAACTTGGGCAGTGTGTATGGCTCAAAGGCAGTGAACAGACCACCTCCACCATGTTGGACTGGATGGAACAAGCAGGGAGGCTGTATATACCCTAGTAATGGCACAGCTTAAATTTTTAAGATGTGCTTAGCATTTTAAGAAGTGCTCCTGGACAATAAAGAATTATAGATACACAATAGGGCCCATTCAAACATAAAATACCTCTAAATGGGGCACAGTGTGTTAAAAAAA